GGGCGATCGCCTCCGGAACGAGTGGCTGGAACGCATCGTCGGAGGCTCGGGCTGCTGGAAGGAGCTCGAGGGGCAGCAAGGGAAGGAATGTGGAGGTGTACCTTCCTAGGCCGTATGCCATAGGCTCTTCTTGATGCAAGGTTATTGGGACTACTGACCTTGAAGTCCTTGGCTACATTATCGACGTTATGGTACATAACATCGACACTATCCTGCACTGAATGTCGCCCGCACCATGCTGGAATGATATACGCCCTCAGGTTACACTCTGTAGCGAACATACGGACGATTGACCGAAACGCAATGATACATTCTGAACCAAACCAAATTACAGCACGGTCTATTCTACCGAATACAAGTACCTACGGACGCATGCAGTCAATATCGCAGAGCGCGTGCGGTAGCAGTAACAGGCAGCGGGGGGTAACAAAGCAAACGAAACCATTATCCGAGCGGAACACGGAGTCGTAGCGATACGCAGAGAGAACAACGGTGACACCAGTAGCGGTTACAAGTCCCAAGCAAGGGAGGAGACGGTCGAAACCTGTGTATGGGGGAAGAATTACGGTAGTAGTCGTGACAAGACATCGTGGTCGAAAGGAACGGAGAGGGGAGTGCATCGCAAAAGCCCATAACCAGGAGGAACGTCGGGATAGGCCAAGTCGGTACAAAGGAAGGAAACGGGGCCGACCAGCAACAGAGGGGTTGACGATTACTTCGGCTTCTGGAGCATCGACATGATGGCCTCGATGCCCTTCATGCCCATGCCGCCCTTGGGGTAGCAGATGTACAACTGTATGTATATGCGTCAGCACTCATCCAACCCGGACTCCTCCAAACAAGGTACTTACGGGATCCTGCCAGGTGCCGAATTTGCTCCTGAAGTCGCCCTTGCCGGTGAGGTTGAACGTCGAGGAGAGACCGTTGTACGCCTTTTCGAGCGTCTTGACACGGAAACCGTGGACGTTTTCAGCTGGCTGCAACTTGTCGATCGCGCCTGCACCGAAGGTAGCGGATTTGACGCCTGCGTCGCCGAGCTTCTTGATGACGTAGGTGAGGATGTACTCGATGGCACCCAGGGGCGCGCCCGGGAACTCCAGCGCCCACTTGATCTGGAAGCCATGCCTGGGGGCGAGCTGAGCGAGGACAACCATCGCGCAAGGCTAAATGACGCCCAGTCAGACTACTGTGTGCGAGGAGCGGCTGGACTACGCACCTTGCCATCCTTGTCAATGGCGTAGAAGTACTTGCGGTGCTTCATGTCGTCGAACGGCCGCACGCCCGTCAGATGGATCTGCGTGCCCCTCCGGTTTGCGGCCCATTCTTGGCAGCGCTGCTCCAGCTGCGCCTTCACTTGGGGATCCATCTCCTGCCCGACTTCGATGACCTTTACGCCCTCGCGTTCAGCGCGGTGAATCTTGCGCCGTACCGTCTTGTCGTGCTCGGCGGGATCGACCTCCGTGGGGTTGAGGCGCTCTTCCGCGACGGCAATGACAGCACCCCATCCAAGGTCCTCAGCGAGATACCTCTCGGTCGTCTTGTCGATGCAACACCAGAGAGGCTTCAGGCCTTGCTCGTGCAAGTAAGCGAGGTACGCCTTGGCGACGCGAGGAACCTGTTCAGGGGGGCAGAGGGGGTTTCCGAAGGTGACGGCGAAGCCGTTCTCCGGGATATACCCGACAGCAGCTCCGGTCGCCTTGTCGCGCCAGACAGTCCATGCAGGATCGGTCCAGCTCGTGTTCGTCGCATCGCCGTACTTCGCGATGAGCTACGCAACTCAGTCAGTACACGGGAACGCAAGAAGATCACATTCCAGATACTCACATTCTCCAAAGGCGGCAGCTCGCCGGACCTCTTACCAGGTTGCAGAGTAGACGATTCAGGACCGTGGAGGATGAGGGAGTTCGCGGCAATATATGCGGCCTCCGTTGGATCTTGACCGCGCTTAATGAAGCTGCGGGGGTCCCGCGGGAAGAGGCTCGCCCAGCGGACGTTGCCGAGCTTTAGGAATAGCATGACAACACGCTCAAGACCAACACCTCCGCCTCCGTGCTGAAATGAAGTGATGTGAGGAGCTGCACTCGGCGAAAGCATGACTAGATACTTACCGGCGGGCAGCCCCATCGGAAGCCGTCGACATACTCCTTCATGGTGTCGGGGTCGATGCCGTCCTCCTTCATCCGTTCCTCCAGAAGGGGCGCGAAATGGATGCGCTGACCTCCAGAAAGGATCTCCTCCCCGCGCAGGAAGAAGTCATATGAGTTGGACCATCGCTGGGGGCCCATGATGAGTAACCATGCATTCAGACGGCATCAGTATCGCGCACCTTGTCCTCGGGGTCGGGCATGGTATAGAACGGCCGCACTTCAAGCGGGAACTTGTCGATGATGTAAAAGTCTGCGCCATACTTCTCCTTGACCAATTGACCCAAGCGCTGTTCAGCGCGGGTGCTCAAGTCGTCGGTCTCAGAGATCTCATGCCCGTCGTCTTCGGTCCATCCGGACTCCTTGAGCATGCGAATGGCTTCCGAGAACCGCAGACGGGGAGTCTCATCAAGTATGACGACATCGTCATGAGGATAGTACTTCTTGACCGTCTCGATCTGGTTCCACCGCCGAGACAATTGCGTCAGCATATTCCAGAACCGTAGTGATGGCGCATGTATATAAAGGGACATGACCGGAAGAACGCACCTCGTCCCTGAACTGCGACTGGAGCCCCTTGAAGATCGTCTTGAGCAAATCGTCTAGCAACTCAATGACTTCATGGTAATGGCTCTCTATCGCCATCTCCAGATCCAGGCCGGTGAACTCTGTCAAATGTCTATGGGTATTGGAGTTCTCCGCTCGGAAGACGGGCCCGATCTCGAAAACCCTTTCCATGTCTGCCGCGATGCACATCTGCTTCGCGAGTTGAGGACTCTGCGCGAGGTAAGCTGGTCGCCGGAAATAGTCGACTTTGAACACTGCTGCTCCTGATTCTGTGGACGAGCCCTGCAGCTTGGAGGAATGGATTTCTACGAAGTTGCGGGAGGTCAAGTAGGTGCGGAACAACTCGCATACGCCTGCGTGGATGCGGAATATGGCTTGCGCTGCGGGCGACTACGAAGTCCTCGTATAAGCAGCCATCATATACGTCTAGAATGCTCGTGAACGTACCCGCAGGTCCAAGACACGATTGTCAAGCCGAGTTCGCTCGCCGACCTTCACAAACTGCGCATCCTCCTGTCCAATTTCGTGAGCGTGGAGCCCCTATAAACGTTGGCGCAGACCTACCCTATCGTAATACTCTTTCGGCCTGGAGACGTCTTCGACTTGATACGGGAGCGTTGTAGAAGGAGCCGAGATCACATGCAGCTGCATTGCGGTGAGTGCCCTTGTTCGATGTAAGGGTGGATACCGAACTGCATACCTTGGAAATCTTGATCTCGTATTCGTGGATGCTCGTACTATGCACGTTCTCTTGTTTCGGGGGAGGACGCTGAACGACACCCGAGACGAGAACGATGGACTCCCGCGCTATCCCTTCGGCCCAACGAATCATGATCTGAGAAACTTTATCAGGCTCCTCGGTCAAGACGCCTTGCACCGTCGTGAATTGATGACGCAAGATGATGAAGACAATCTTTGAGCCTGGCAACGCATATTCAATTGCGGTCTGCGGACAAGGCACCATGAAGCGTACCAAGGGGTCGGATATGGTGTACACGGGCCCGGAACGTGACTTCGTCGCCCTCATTCTTGTTGGGGATGTCGCGGAGCTGGTCATATTTGCAAGCTCGAGTCGAATCAATGTAAGCAGCAAATTTTTAGCTAGCATTCGAACTGCTCACCTGACCGCGTCTGCGACATATTCAGAGGTAAATCTCCCCAATGGTCTCGTAGAGGATCCTGAAAACCACATTCAACACCACGCGCCTATTGCAACACTGCGCTCAACGCACCTCATCGTGCGCCTTCCTCATGCGTTCCTTGCGAAGATGGTAGTCCTCGTCATCCTTTGCTTCGCGCTCTGCTTTGCGTTCCTCCTTCTGCTCGGTGAAGGACAAGCGACGGTCCGAGATACTGCTAGGACGCTGGATGCCCTTGATCGCGTCCTTTGACTGCTGTTCAGTCGCGGCGGTCTCGCCCTTTGCATTCGTGTCGTCTACTTCGACATGCGGACTCGTCGTCTTATCCGCCTTGCCGTTCAAGAGGGGGTGTGCCTTGCCATTCACCGAGTCGCGGGAGCTGGACTTCGAGGCCGAGCGTGTATGTGAGACAACCTTCGAGAGGGCCTTCTTGAGCGAGGCCATGGTAGTCGTCGTCGGGGAGGATATGTGTGGGTGTATGCGGGGTGTATGCGGGCGGCGACGGGGGGAGGAGGTATAAGAGGCCTGGCTGAGCAGGGCCGGAGGAAAAGGATGGCGCGGCGAGTTTGTCCGCCGGCATTTGAACGCGACGCCCTCGACCAATCCAGACACGACGTCATCTCCGGAATCGCCCAACGTCATCCATCACTTCCGCCAGATTAGGAAGCAGTCCTTGCGGCCTTCGCTTGGCGCGGCCCTTTCGACATCGTGCTGACCAAACCTGATATTCACGCGCACTCCGACTCTCCGGGAGTCCGGAGAATGAAGTCGACAGGGTCCTCCCAGGCCTAGGGGCATTGAGCGTGGTCGACCCTACGCGTCCTCCCGGCTCGTCTCTGTCGTGGTGTGAGCTGTCTGGGGAACGAATCTGGCCCCAGTCTGGAGCGATGCTCCCCGGTTGCGGCATCGAATGGTAACGAGAATCACATCCCACTCCACAAAGCAGCGTGCGACGTGCAGCATCCTTACGCCGTCAGACACGATGCGTCGTCGGAGTAACTGCGTCCGCGGGGCACGGACCGAATCCATCCTGCGTACGTCGTCGTCGGTCGGTGCGAGCTGTTCACGGAGGCTGCGCGTATACACGAGAGGGCTCTCGAAGAAGAAAAAAACACAAGGTTACATAAACACCGGCAAAAATAACACTAACTACCCCCGGCGGGACTCGAACCCGCAACTTCCAGATTCAGAAGGACACACCCGTCGTAGAAGTCTGACGTCATAGCCATTAGACAACGGGGGCTCAATGCTTAAAGCTTCTGAAGATGCTGTAGCGCTTTGACATGCTCAGACATCAGGTGGCAACTGCGTGGTCTAGTACTAGTAGTCCATCCCCGCGATCCACTCACGACGTATATCGTCAGCAAGTGTGAGGTGCTTCATCCCATCCACATAACCAGCTTCGAGGAGCACAGCTTCCACATTTGTTCCCCTATTACACCTCTCCACAACGTCTTCCAGGTAGACTCCGCCTGGAGGCGACTGTGACCCCAGGGAGCAGTACAACCGGCTCGGCGGGACTGGGTCATACGGCGGCCGCAGTACAAGAACTCGCACGCTCGGGTACGCTGGAGTTGAGGGACCAAGCGTAGCGCGGCCGCCGGAGTGGTCCCAGTCGCCGTGCCCAGGGTACCATACTCCAACGGCCTCTGCGACCTCGCGGATATGCCGGAATCCGAGGCCTGTCAGGTGCAGGTGCCAGACGCGCGGCGCGTGCCTCGCCCACTGAGGGAGGTTATACTCTCTTGAAGATCCTGGCCAGAAAAGATGGAGGATGCGGAGGTGTGTCAAAGAGGGGAAGAGCGGGGTGTCGACCGTGGTCCCAGGCCCATCACTGTTCGAGCCACTCCGCTGGAAAAGCGCGCATGGATGTTCGACGCTGACGAAGGTGAGCTCCCGCAACGCGGTGAGAGGTCGCTCGATGCAGTGCAGGTCGGTGAGCTCCCCGCCGTAGGTGAAGCCGGCCTGGATAACCAGCGTTCGGACGTCGGTCGCGACAAGATCGAAGAGCATCCGAGCATCGGCCAGGTATTCTTCGTATGCCTCCGAGATGGGTGCGCCACGCAAGCGCCAGTCATCGATCTCCTCGAGGACATCGTCGCGCTGCCCTGAGGAGGGAGACTCTTCAGTCTGAGACTGCGACAAGCCGGATTCATGGTTCCTTCGTCTCCTCGGCGGCGGGGAAAGTGAACGCCTGTATCGTGGCTCCAGCTCATTGCGGTATATGTTGGGGAATGTCAAGTGAAGATGATGGATGCGTGGCTTGTCCTCGAGTAGGGCCGCGCACTCGCGCGCGTAGAGTGTGATAAACGCCCGTAGCCGCCGAGGGTTGGCGATGAGTGCGAGGGAATGGAAGCGTATGGGCCGGGACGCTGCCCGTATACCCTTGGATGTGAGGGAGAGCGCGTTCCCCGTCGGACCACCGTCTGTGCATGCGAGCTTGAAGATATGTCGAACTGTTTCAACAGGAAGGGTATCCATGGTCGAGCTGGAGGTGAGAGTGCCGGATACCAGCAGGTCATAAATGGGGGAAGTACTGCGCAGAAGCCGGCATTATGAGCGGCAATACGCGAGAATTTCTGCATGTCACCTGGGCCTTGTGGAGAATTGATTTATACATAACGGATACAGCTATATGATAGACGTAAGTGAGTTAATACATGCCTACTGAAGGGTGCCCGAGGGACTCGGATGCTCGCAACACGTCGCAGCCCCTGATCCTACAAAGTCGACTCCCACGCACACCTTTGGCGAGCACAGGAGCTCACATCCCGTCGCGGGAAGAGGGAGATGGCATCGGCCGAGAACTCACAAATATGCATGATCAGGCAAGCACAACCACTTGACCGGAAGACATGAAGGGAATCAATGCTGAAATGCTCGCCTCAACTACGAACTTCAACGAAACAAACTTCTTGTGTTGTCACCAATGTCTCTACTCTATGATACCAACTCGGTCAGTACTGTTAGAGATGTCCCGCCGGACCCATCACGTACCCCAAGTGATAGGTCCGATGTACACGGGCTGCGCGAAGCCCTGTGTATCATAACGACACATTGCGACCGCAGCGTCGTAGGCAAGGCTTGCTCGCTCCCGGGCCTCACCTGCACCGCTGCAGCAGAACTTGACTGTGACCGCGGGCCCGTGCGTAGTTGCCTCGATCCGCACATTGGTGTAGCGGTGGCCGACCACGCGGTCTGCAAAGATGGTCGCTTCATCCACCGTCGAGAAGCAGACGACGGCAGCGCCGACGGTGACACCGCACGCGCCTATCGGCCGTCAATCGATCGTTGGAAGGAGATAGAATGAACAGAGCGCTCACGAGGCGGCTGGTACACGGTCGACGTCAAGGACTTGTATCGCGGGCCCGGAAAGCTGTATAAGACCTCTAGGTACGCCTTCATGGCCGAGTGGATCGAGACCGCCTCGCTCGCTGCGTCCTCGATAGCGAAGGTAACAGAGACTGTGCTCTCCGTCCTCGATGCGTCCCACTGCTTGATATGCTGGGGAACATGAGCGCACGCGTATTCGAAGAAGGCCTGCGCATCTTGTTCGGTGTGGTAGGTAGTCGCAGCAACGATGGGTACGGCCTCTGACGAGACACAGCTACGGCCGCCTATTTTGGCAATAGGGATAGGAACTATGTTCTTTGAGGGAAGAGGCTGAAAGCCAGCGTATGTCGACGGGCGCGAAGGGACGGCCGTATCAAAATTAGTCTATACTGAGTCAGGAACACTTCAAATTACATGAGACACCGGGGCTCACCGCCATATCGCCTCCAGAATATTGTGAGCGTGTCGTACCCAGGGTGGCAGCTGTGAGGTGTAGTGTAGTACTTCTTGGCACGGCGAGGAAGACAGAAACACAAGCAGCGGATCCCTTAAGAGAGAAGTGCAGAGGCCCGATACGCGCGGATCGTACCTCTATCCCCGAGGCTTAACGGGGTTACTTATCTTCGCGCACTAACATGTAACACACCGATGGTGATTCTCTGGGCAGTACGACTTTCCGGCTCTTCCTCCGACGAGTGCGTCAAGAGATAACGCAAGGGACCTGACATGAAATCGATCGTTGCAAGGAATACTGGCCTGTTATATCTACTTTGACGCCCCTTGTGAAGCCCGACGCCGTGCAGAGACCATTTCGGCGCAGCTCTGTCGTGAGCATGAAGGCGGTTGCGATACTGCGCGCGCATACAATCATCAATACTTCACCACTCGTTCATCATGCTTGTGGCCGATGTTTGATTGTGAGATCGAGTACGAACAGCTATGTATGCGATGAACGAGGTGGGACGGATCAGAAACCGCCAAAAACCGATGGAGGCGCTCCTTGGTGGCGTTGTTTGTGCTTGTGTTTGATGGCGCTTTTGTTTGGCGCCTACTGGCGGAAGCGCCTAAAGTGACTTTGCCTGAGAACGTCCGAGTCGGATGTGAAGCCGCCGCAACCACCGCGTGTTCTTGGACGCTCTCGCAGGACGCATTGCAGTACTCCTCTATGGCCGACGGTGCTGGGAGCTCGGCACCGCCGAGGTGTCATACGATACGGAAGTGAGTCACTATCCCGTTATATGCCCTGGTCACTGCCACAAACGCTGCTCACATGGGACTGCGATCTGTCTGTCCTTGATCCCAGACCCGGTTGGCTGCAGGGTATGTGCGCAGAAAAGTATATCTGCGTTCCCAAGAGGGCGTCATCGTAGAAAGCGGTGTCAGATGCAACGCCCTTTGAAGTCAGTCAAGCGATGCTCCGCAATCCTATGTATATTGGAGTCCCCTCGGCCTTGCGCGCCCTACACCTCTCACCTTTTACAGACCCCAATATGCGCGCTCCTATCCCTCTCCTCTGCATACTCCTTGGTGCTTCTATTGCTATGGCGCAGTCTGAATACGACCTGGACGTCGGGAACGCAACCTCGTCGCTACTACATCTCAGCCTCAGCCCGGACGTGCATCTCGACGACAACAGCCCTTCCGCGAGTTCCGTATCGCAGAACAGCATATCCCCGGGAACCAGCTCCCCGGACGACCTAAATCCTGTCGCCTTGATGCGTCCTGAAGAAGACACAGAAGAGGAGGTGGTTGAAGTCCAACAACCCGAGTCGTGTGTCCATGGCGTAGCCGAGGAACCGTGCACGCTCATGGACGTCCGGCGCCGATGCGGCGCAGCCCTGCCCATCGGGATCGATCCCGCCCTGAACTACACCTTCCACAAAATGCGCCTCTCTCTCGTTGGAGCAAACTGTACGCGGTCCCCGTTGGGTTCCTCGGTCCCTCATAACGCTCACACCAAATCAATGTTACAGTCAGCCTGTCGCTGGGCTTCCATGACCAAGACGGCAATCCACCGCCCATGCTCGGGCACGGTGTCATACATTTCTCCGATATCCTCGCTACGAACATTTGCAAGCGAAGTTGGCGCAGTTGGGCACTATGGGGAGGGAATATCGTGCTCACCGTGGTATTTGGGTATGCCGTGACGAAAGTGCTGGACTATCTACCGATCTGGGGCATATTCCAATGACGACATGGTAAGCACATTGTTCCTTACGCCTTCGTGAATATCATGACTCAACGTATATATAGGCCCATGAGCGCACGGCTGTGCTACACATGACCTCTGGAAGCACGAACTTCATGTGCAAGATCGTAGTCCATGAGGGCGTTATCAGGGAGGGTATTGTATCTTCCTTCACTGCGCGTGGAGTTCGACTATCCCGTAGAGGTACCTGGGCACCCCTGTGCTGGCCTATGCTATGACGCCAGGGAGCGAGTAATCGACTATGAGTAAAATCACTGGAGACACTATACTATACAGAACCAGGTAGTTCGGTTGCAAGCTATAAAGCGCCCTTGATTTCAAGATTCTCAACTACGGGTTTCGCCCGTAGGCTCTCCCCGAGTGTCATATTCATCGAGATGCTTGCAGCTTCTGTAGCCAAGGTTGCCTAGGGAGGATGCAGGCGAGGCGTTTGGGAAAGGACAAGTGTACATGTCGGTGGCCGAGTGCATTCGACTCCAAAGAGGGGAACGAGCGCTTGTGTTCGGCATATTCCGGCACCTCACCCGTATTCTGCAGCACTCGACGTCCGACACCTTACTACTCTGAACGTCACTAGCCAGCACTACAAGAGACCTAGGCCTACGCAGTCAAATTGATCGCAAGACCGCTAGCAATTCTCATGCTTAAGCAGTTTGGGTCGAAGACGTGTTCAAGGCGCGCCATGCAAAGGCCTATGGCGA